ATTGTGGATCATCTAGCCTCAGGCCACTCTGAATCTGTTTCACTGTTTCCTCTAGAGCCTGGAAATGTGTTCTTCTTCAGGTAAGCAAAGGCAGAAAAAGCCTAGCGAACCCCACTGTAACTAAGCCTGTCAGCAGTTTGCCCTCTATTCCTCCCTTCCTAACCCCACCCTACCCACCCTGTGTCATCTCAATGCCCACTATACTCTAAGTTATATCCTTTTCACCACCCAGCTGAACAGTTGTTCAGACAATTCCTTGATCAAAAAACACTGCCTTCTTGAGTTTAAATTTTATTTTACAAAAAGAGAAATAAAGAAAACTGATAGGCAGTTATACTGACTTACAATTGTTCTGTTTGCTTTTTTAAAAAAGTGACATGAAACACAAGTAAAAATAAATACGTCATAGAAACAGCCAGTTGCCCAGTCTCTGGGGCAGGAGCACCTGCCCTGCTGAGAGAGGAGGGAAGCCCATGATCACACCAGCAGCTGGAGCACCCAGCCACAGATGCTCCTCAAAGCCAGGCGCAGCAGGTCCCGGGCCTCAGGGGGCGTCCTGAGGAAAGAAGACGGAAAACCAAAGCCAGGTGCCAGGTCCCTGGGGCCATTTCATATCCCCCCCACTCCTCCCGGCAGCCGTGTGGCCTTTAGTGGTTATCCATTGCGACCCCCTCAACCCACCTGGACCCTCTTCCCCTGACCCTTCTGGAGAGGGTACAGGAAAAAAAACCAGTCTTGGGCAGGCTGAGGGGGATTTTTCCTGTGAGTCCCCAGCCCACCCTGAGTAACACAACCAGATAACAGTTTACACCCGTGTGCATGAGTGCACACTCTATCTTGCATGTGCACACGCACACACGCACACATGCACACACACACACAAGTGCACACACACCTGGGCTGAGTGCTCTTCCAGAGGAGGGTCCTGGGTCAGGTCACAGTATGAGGTCCCCTCTTCTGAATATCATCCCAGTAGTGGTAACAGAGTACCCAAATCTCCTCCAGCCCTCTGCACTAGACTCTGCAGCCTACCTGGCTACCTCTTCCCAATGCAATAGATGACTATATCCAACCAACCTGTGAGAGGAAAGGGGCAGACTCAGGTCCCTGAAAAATGAAGAAGTTGGACACGGCCTGCTTGGGAAGTTCATCGTTAAGACTTGGGTATTCATAAAAGGCCTAGGGCCAAGCTAGTGGCACAGAAGAGACATGAAGGGGTCACATCGGAACACACAGGGCAGAAGAGTCAATAGAAGGGGACAGAGTCTGCAGGTGACTGACAGCACAGCATTCTCAGGCCTCGAGGTGCAGATTTCCTGGGTAGAAGTCAGAGGAGGGCCAGAAAGTCTGCTGGGGGGGTCCATTGAGGGGAAGAGCTCTTCTTTCAGAGGCGGCTTACTGTGGGGAAAATGACTTAGCTGGGTACACAGGCCATGGCTCAGAAGGGAGACCAGTTTTCTGAGGAATCACAGGAAACTGGGAAGTGGGAGGAAGGGGGTCATGGCCAGGAACACTAGGAATAAGGAATGTAAACCTCCCCCCCCGCCCCCGCCAGACATTCCCCATGGGATGAGGACTCAGTTCCAAAGCAATGCCAGGATTGAACCCACTGAGACAGAGGGCCTTGCTCTGCTGACAGCTTTGGGAGTGACAGTCTCACCCAGACTGCTAAAGTATGGTTGAGTGTTTCAACCTATCAGCAAAACTTTACCCCAGCAATTTGCTTCACACACTGGAGACGGGAATTTCATATTTAGTTGTGAATCACAAGTATACAGAGAGATACCACACACTAATTCCTAGGGAAGAAAGTTCCAAGGACCAGAAAAAGATGCTCAAGAAGCACAACCTGAAGGGGGTGAGGACTTGGTAGATATCTAATGATCTGATCCAACATGGTTCACTTACTTTCTTACTGAAATGGCTACTTTGTCTCTGGCTCAATTTTTACCCACAACAATATTAAGAAAAGGAAACTGAGTATCATTACAAATGGTAATCCTGAATCATTATGCAGTACTATATTCCCTAGCATGAGAATTTAGGCTAAACCAGATGGATGGGGCTTGAGAGCCCCTTGAAAACATCCTATGGAAGACAATGGTGAGGGAAAATGCTGAGGGGCCTAATCTACTACCGACCCCTCCTCTTACCCCTCCCCCCCACATCACCACCCTTCCCTCACTCAGGCCTGGATGGTAGGTGGAAGCCACCATCAAGTGTTTCTGCTCAAAGAGGCTGTAAAACATGGTTCTTAGGCTCTGAGACATTTCCTGCTTCCCTCACACACGTATTTAGTGTGCATGCACACTTGCCTACCATCATACATAGAGAGATAGCAGAAAAGTAGAAGTGTTTTTCAGATTAAAAAACAAAAACCTAAAGGATGAAACTGGTAGCATTTCAATTTCCCATGATCCCACCCCATACCCCCTATACAATATAAGCTGCACATATTAAAGAAAGCCTTCTCTAGCCAGCTCAGCCTCCCAAAACTATTGCCTCTTCTGACCTGAAGCAAGACCCAACCCCTGGAATCAGTGAGTAGAGAACACGTATATACTGCCTCTCAGAATACCCATTCACTTCCTGGTACTTTCAAAGGCCCATCCTTCCAATAATTGGTTTCAATCCCTTGCTGACAGTTTCCAGATTCTCAGCGCCTACTGCTAGGACTTCTTAGAGGTGAACACAGACATACTCCTCCATCCCTACCACACACACACACACACACACACACACACACACAGTCTCTGGGATCCTAGTATACCAGGGCCTTAGAAGCTATCATTTGTAGCCCAGGTTGTGAGTGTGCTCTGCAAATCAGAGATCCAGGCTAGCTCACTCCTACTGCACCAGTCTCAAACCTGAGAGCCCACTCCAACTGAGTCCCTTCAGCATCCATTCTTGGGATGCATCGGGAAGAAAAAGCACTGGTTGGAACTGCTATTTTAAAATTATTAAAATAATTTGCATAGCTAAATTGTAGATCTAAGGCTTCTATGAGTAGGAGAGTTAAGTGTCTGATAGGGTACCTATGAAAAAAAAGAGTGAAAGCTCCCTAAGTTCCACTTTTGGTGCAACCAGACAGCACACAAACGCGCACGCGTGCGCGCGCGCGCGCACACACACACACACACACACACACACACACACACGCATGCATGCATGCAGCCCCATCAGCTATCTCTTTGTCTCTTCTCTGGGGACAATACCCCAGAATGTGCTAAAGCCCTCCAACAATGGAAACAGGCTGGTCAGAAGGGTAGCAGAAGCAGCTACTATGAGGGGTGACCTGGCTAAGTTGCCTCCGAGGTTGGTAAGAGGCAGGTGCAGCAGCTGCTCAGTGAGGAAGGACCCATGACTAGGTGGCAAAACTCTAAAGCCAGACAGGTTTGTTCATCATAAAAAACTGCCTAGCAAAGTCTTGGTGACAGGAGGGAAAAAAGAGTCAATAGGAAGACAGCCAGTGTTTATGCTTAAAGACTAGATGCCCCCTCCCCTGCCACTGGCAACAAGAAAGAGGAGACCCAGAATGACTGATGTATTTTTTCAGACAAAAGCCAGACTTAAGGCTCCTACAGAGGAAGGGCTGCCCCGTGTTCCATCAAAGAGGACAGAGATAACAGACACCCATCCCATAATGATCATCTGATAGGCTGGGGAGGCCAAAATATTTCCCAGTAAGAAATCAATAGTCTATTCTTCCAACCGAGCAGTCACCTACGTATGCACAGCTTCACTATTCAGTACAGAGGGCCTGCCTCTAAGGTCATCCCAGGAGGACACAGCTCCAAATCTGGGGTCACTGACTTCCCAGTAGCAAACTCCATGATCCCAAGTTTCAATCTCTGTGGAATGAGTCTCACCCCCACTAACTATCCAGTCGCAAGATTCTCTGATCTTCCTGAGAGGCCGTTTCCCAAAAACATAGTCATTTAGTATAAACTTTGGTCAAGCCTAACTCTCTTTCCTTGGTCAATTCACCATCTACCTGGGATTTATTTACCCCTATGGGGTCTGGGGATCTTAACATTGCCCTTCCTAGCTCCTACTGTCCCCATATCCACCCCCCCCCAAAAAAAAGACACATGGAAAGTCCAAATAATAAATAATTGCCCATAAAAAATAAATTAACATGGAGCTTTCTAGCAGGGAAGCAAAGGAAAGGCAAGGCCACAAGGACAGGCAGGTGGGGGCTCAGTTCCATCCTTGTGAAGGTCTATTCTCGTCACACTCCATGACTTCTTGCTCACACACCGCATATGCCCGTCCCAGCCTCTGCACACAAATCTCACACCCTGTGAAGGGAGATCTGCTCAGAGACAACCACTGGGGAAAGACACAGAGATTGGTAATGCCCATTTTCTCTCCTAATTTCCCCCAAATTCCAAAATAGATGTGGCTATAAAGACCAGGGACTTGGATTAGCTGGGCCTTCTCCTCACCCAACTAGAAGGAAACTTGAGCGTTCCATGGCTCTTCTCCTGGGCTCAACACGATGTTCATACTAATAGTTGCCATGAACCACCACACACCAATTTCCATTTTAAAAATGATAAATTCATTTTTTAGTTCCCCCCTTCGTCTCTCCCACCCTCCCCTCCCACCGCCACCCCTGCTCTGTTACATACACATATAGACATAAACACATACACACATACGCACACAAACATACATACCTGGTTTGCTTCTTTCCTGTCCCTAAAAGGACTCCATTTCACATGAAATCTCAATCTGCTCTCCCTGCCCACCCTCCTTCACTTATCCTTCTTCCCTCCCCTCCCCTCTCTAGGCCAAGCTAAGTCACCCAGTAAGGCAGCTCTCTTGGGAGAGAATGTTCCCAAAGACAAAAATGGGATGTGAGCTTCTACACTCAGATGGCAGGCAAGCAAGCAAGCACACAGCATAAGCAAGGCAGGCAGGAAGAGAGGCAGGCTGCCCTGCCCCTCCATTCCTGTTTTGGGTCCCTGATTTCCCGCTATTGCTGCTCTGTTGGCTTTTTTTTTTTTTTTTTCCTCCTCTTATGTTAAATAGCAACAGAGCCCTGCCATTGTGGTCAACCACCTTTCTTTGTCCTCTTCCTTTTCCCTCCTGCCAAGTGCCCTATTCTCAGAAAGCCCAGATTGCTGCCTTTCAGCTTGGTGGGCAACCTGCCGGGGACCCCAAGTGAGGTGGAGAGGGGCTCCCCAGCTATTTCCCAGTGACCTCTATCACATCATCGTCCTTATCCTCATCGTCATTGGAGCTGAACCCCACCTCAGCAACCTCGTGAGAGTCAAATGGAGGCACCTGGGACCGGAGGAGGCCGCCAGCTGGGTAGCCTGCATGTGGGGACATGTAGCCTGGGTAGACAGACATGCCCCGTGAAAGGTTGCTGGGTAAGACAGGGGAAGGAAAAGGCGCGAACATCCTCGGCTCGGACAGGAGCGGCTGTGAGAATGGGAGTGAGTAGCTGGGTAGTATCCCTGGAACAGAGGGGTTGAGCATGAAGGTGGGGTTGCTGGCAGTGACTGAGGTAGCCGTGGAAGAGGAACTGACAGGGCCTGCTGGCACCAGAGGGTCAGTAGTCACTGGAAACACCAGGCGGGCATCTGCCAGCAAGTTGGACAGCTGGTAGTAGGAGGGGGTACTGCCCATAAACAAGGAGTTCTCCCCAGCCTGGGAGGTGAAGGGAGCGGTGAGGTTATGATTTAAGGAGACGGGTGGCATGGCAAACCCGCCAGAAACTGGATACCCGTGTTCATACGGCTGCACGGGGGCTGGCAGGTGGCCCTTCCTGGACCGCCGGCGGGCTGACTCCTGGGCAGCAGGTGGTGTGGCCAACTTCCGCTTATGGCCCCGTAAGTCCAACACCGGGTTCCTGTCACCACAGGGCTGGCCGGTCACTAAGAGGGAACTATTGAGGCAATGACCCCCATGTCGAGGCTCAGTCCCGAGAGCTGTCCCAGGAACAGCACTGCTGTCCACAAGTTGGGCCGGGGGGCCAGGCAGGGCAGCACTGGAGCTTGGGGAGCTCTGCTGGGATTCCCTGGCGGCAGCCACATCTGCATACTGCTGGAGCTCACTGATGATCTCCGGGCTGTCTGGAGAGACGGGCCTGGCCAGCCCCTCAGGGTCGGGGGCTTTGGGTGATGAGGCACTGTGTCTGCCATTGCTTGTGGACTCGAGAGAAGGCCCCTGGGAACCTGGGGAATAAAACGTAGGTAACTGAGAACCAGAATGGCCAGGGAGATAAGGAGGGTATAGGAAAAATTCCATAAAAAAAAACAAAATCAAAATAAATAAAAAATCTTGTCCTGTGATCCCCCAAATTCAAAGAATCTGATGTCCAAACAACATCCTCCAGTCAACTTTTCTCAGTCACAAAGAAAGAAATCCTTTGATCTAGGAAATAATATGTGTAACTCTGCACCCCAGTTCCCCAATCTGTGAAACTCAACCAAGGTGAATCCTAGGAGATAATATCAAATGCTAATAGGTCATTCTTATAACGAGCTGGACTCCTTCTGAGAAGGGACAGAGACAACCAGTGACCAGGATGGGAGACAAAAGGAAAATTAAGTTTAAACAGCAGTCCACCCTAGTTTAAAAACAAAACCAAATCCACAGCCCTGGAAGACGACTGGGACAAGCTGGGATATGGCCTGGATACTAGGTAGTATTTTTAGTGTGATAATGGTGTAAACGTTTGTTTTAGTGTGATAATGGTATTTTGGCTAGGAGGAGAATGTCCTTAACTCTTAGGAGATGTGTGCTGAAGTACTTAAAGGTAAAATGACATGACATCTTCAACTTCCAAATAGTTCCAGTAAGAGGAAGGGAGAGACAGAAGAAAGTTTATGAGAACAATGATAGTCATTGGATCTAGATGTGGGGTACATAGGTGCTGTTCTTTCAACTTGTCTGTAGGTGTGGAAATTGCTGTAATAAAAGTTGGAAACAAGAACAGTGTAGTGCTCATATGACAGGAGGATAGACGAGAGCCACTCCTGTAGAAGGGAACCTGGTTGGACCTCCTAACGTTGTTAATGTGCCACACACACACTCTTTGACCTGCTCCCTCTCTCTTAAGTAAATAAATAAATCTTTTTTAAAAAAAGAATGGAAAAAACTTATGTACATATATTTAACACAGAGACTCAGACACACACAGTTGTGCACACACATTCCTGTATGTGTGTGATGTATCTCTGAAAAAAGCAAATGACAGCAGCACTGCCAGAAAGGAGCACTAGATGACTGGGGGTTTTGGAGGCAGGGAGAGAACATGCCTTTCACTTTACCCCTCTTATGCCTTTTGAATTGTGAACCATGTACACATTATTCAAAAACTAAGTAATTACAGGGGCACATGGGTGGCTCAGTGGGTTAAAGCCTCTGCCTTCAGCTCTGGTCATGGTCCCAGGGTCCTGGGATCGAGCCCCACAGCGGGCTCTCTGCTCATCGGGGAGCCTGCTTCCCCCTCTCTCTCTGCCTGACTCTCTGCCTACTTGTGATCTCTGTCTGTCAAATAAATAAATAAAATCTTAAAAAAAATAAAAATAATTACAAACAAAAATAAAGTAATTACAAACCAAACCAAACCAAACCAAACAAAAAAGTGCCGTGCAGGCCAACAGAAAGAAGCCACCACTGTACCTGAGGCAGCCATCCGACCATCTTCCGGGACCTTCGGTTTGCCCGTTGCCCGGACAGCAAAGATCCGCCCGTCACTGGTACGGATGTACGTCCCTAGAAGAAATAGGAGGAAGCCTGCTAGAAGCCAACATGCAATCAACCAACTCTGGGAAAGTCCAGAGCTAGGCACCATGGGCTGGGAAACTGCTATAAAATTAGGTCTCACACCCTCCCTCAAGAACCCTGAAATGACAAGTGGAGTGGCTGAGCTGTGGACCCAATATTATTCATTCATTCCACAAACAAGGCACAACTACCATGTATGAGGCATTGTCCTAGATGCTGAAGAACACAAGACAGAAAAGGGCCCTGTCTCATGGAGCTCAGCCTCTGGAGGAAACAGAAAGAAAATGATGCCAGAAAATACTAGGAAAGGTTAATGAAATGGAGGAAATAAAGGGGTAGCTAGCACAGACAGTAGTTGGCTGCCTTGGTTTTGGGCGAAGTACTCTCTTGATCTGAGGGGTCCTCCTCTTGATCTGAGGGGAAAGAGCCTCACTGCCTCAATACCCTCTTCTCTCCTGGTAGGAATAACTCAAGAAAAGCCTTCTATTCCCACAGGACACTAACCTACCTTCTCCATCTTTTGATCAATCTCCTGGAAGGTCAGGGCTGCCTCCAGGTCAGAAGTCAACAAACATTTTCTTTAAGGGCCAGTTAGTAAATATTTTTGCCTTATAGGCCAAAGTGTTACAACTACTCAACTCTGTTACTATAATGAAAATGGGGTGGGGTGGGGCAGCTGGGCTCCAAAGATCTTTATTTATGGACATTGAAATGTTAATTTCATATAATTTTCAGGTTCTACAAAATATTATTATTATTATATTTACAAAAATATTATTTTATTATTATTTTAATTTATAATTATTATAAATAATAAATTATAATATAATTATTTTAATTTTAATTTAACCAATTAAAAATGTATAACCCATGCTTAGCTCACCGGTAGAGAAACAGGAAGCAGGCAGGATTTGGCCCATGGGCCATAGTTTACTGACCCATGCTCTAGGATAGGAAGAGCCTAGTAAGGGGGCTGGGTATAATCTTCTCTGTGTGTCATAGCTTCATGGCATCTTCTCCCTGAGCCTGAAGGTACCTTTGACCCAAAAGAGGCTAGGGCGAAAGCTCCTTGCTAAACAAAGAACCTCAGGGAGCCTCATACAGTAAAGGATGATATGAATGATAGGCTCAGATTACATCCTGACAATTACAGATGACAATTACATCTGGACCAGATGGTCCAAAATTCTCATTCCAGCAATCTCATCTCCCTCTGTAAGGAGGCCAGAGGCAGCAGGCTTTTAAAATTACTACACTCAAGGGCCACTTGGTTGGTACAGTTGGTTAAGCATCCAACTCTCTGTTTTGGCTCAGGTCGTGATCTCAGGGTCGTGGGATTGCGCCCTGCACTGGGCTCCACAGTCAGCAGGCAGTCTGCTTAGGACTCTCCCCATATCCCTCTGCTCCTCCCCTACCCCTCTCTAAAATAAATAAATAAATAAATCTTAAACTATCACACTCAAAATATGTCTTCTAACACACATGTACTAATTCATCTTCCCAATGTACTTCCTAGTTGGAAATCTCCACCCCACTCTGAGCAAGTGGGTAAGATGACACACTAACACACACATTAGTTTATAATCCATTCCACAGCTCCCTCCCTCCACTTCTGGTCTCCCTGTGTGTAGTTCAAGTGCTAGAAATTAAGCTTTTGATGGTCAAAGTAATCTATCTTGAATAAACAAACTGCACCTGTACGACACAGCTACTAGCTGAACAACTAGATAAGGAACCAGGCTGTCCCCATCCATGAAGTTCCCCTTTTAGAAATGCCAGAATAATCCAGAAAACTGAACCTCGAGTGACCCTGCTTTTCCTTTCCCATGCCCTAATTCCCACTCTTATGTTTTAAATTCACCAATAAAGAGTAAACCCACATACCTCTAACCACCCCAACTCCTGGACTCTAACATAGACCCAGGTCTTCTCTCCCACAATCTCTCTTTACCCATGACCTCACTGTGTGGCCCTGGGGTGCTGTGTACCCTCTAGGATCTGTGATGAGTAATATTAACCCTGTTTTTTCAAAGTTCACTGATGGCTGCTGTTGGGGTAACATCTTGCAATCATAGTAAGAACCACAAGTGCCAGTCCAGCCATGACACTGGCTCTGGCAAATGTCTGTGGGGGCTTGCCACAATTGCTAGGTGAGTGGTGAGGGACTTCTAGCTGATAGCATCACTGTCAACAGGCTGAGACTGACATAAAACATAGCATCTATCCAAACCAACCTCAAGATTCTCCATAAAAACAATGGTAAAATATGGGAACATAGGGACCCCAACTCTCTCCTTTTAAGTCACTGACAAATCTCTTTTGGGCCCGCCCCGACTCTGCTAAGCACCCAGAAATGTCTTTTTCTCATGCTTCTCCCACATGTGACACTTTTATAGGATAACTCCTATCCTTCCTCTAGCTCAAGCCATATGTTTATCTTCTGCTTCCCAGCCCCACACTGAACCAAAGGTAGAGGATGGGCATCTTGGTCAGGCTCTCACCTTTTGTCCCACGGATGATATGGATGCTCTCACCAGCATTAATTCTTGCCTGTACATCTGTGGAACTGTTGAGTCCAGGAATAACAATATCTAGTGAAGACAAAGACCTCAGATTTAGATTACCTGACTGAGAGGGAAAGAAGATGCAAAGTCCACATCCACCCCTGTTCCTCAGTGGCTTCCCTAAAGCCTCTCAGGGGAGCGGAGGTCTGAACCAAGGAGGACGAGGCAAGCAAGGCCTCCTCTCACAGTTGTATGGCAAAGAATACTAGGAAAACAAGAAACTCTTTAGAAATCCAATTATCTTTCTGATCAATTTCCTCTGATTTAATTAAAAACTCACAGAGTTTTAGTGTGGAGAAAGTTCTAGTTCACATGGTTATTTCTACATTTGCTTATTTTCCTCCTCCCTAAGCTATCTGCATCCATTTGCTACACATCACTTTAGGCTCCCAAAGTAGCCTCATCCTCTTCGTTGCTGGCATTGCTTCACACCTAACTAAAGAGTAAAAAGTATGTTTAAGAATCAGCAGAGAAGTAGTCTCTCAAGAGGCTCTCTTTTTGCTTTTGCCCATTTCACAATGATTTTACAATGGACACACATTATTTTCATACTCAAAAAACAAGATATTTTTATTAAAATTAATGTACCATGGATATTTCTAAATAATACGATGAAACAGCTCCACAAAATGCTTTCCTTCCCAATTACCCTGAATCACAGAACCAATCGCAGAGACAGACAGGCTGCCAGCCTCCTACCACAGGCCCACCATACTCAACCCCTATCAAACTCACAAACAAGGGAGCAAGTGACATTCAGGTCTCCTAGTTAAGTAGGGAGGTTAACTGTCATCCTTTATACACAGATGACCCTATAGTCAGGCAGGACTCAACACATGCACACCTCTCTCAGACCAACCCTATGTCCCAGTGACAGTTCCACAATCTCTGCCATGCTCAGAGTCTATCCCACACATCACATTTAAGAAAACCCAGTACTGTGTTATAATTCTTAAGATATTCCATTAGAATGCAAATTCCTATCTTCTCTGTTTTTACCCACAGTGCTAATGTAGTAAGGCCTAGAATACAAAAGGTGTTTAATAAACACTTCCTGAAAGAAAAAAGTAAAGGGACAGACAGCCCTGGAAGAGAACCCAACCTGTTGTGGTGACCACCTTCTGCACAAGGACCCCCGCACGCTGAAGGTAGTTGATTGGGAAGTTCATAGCTGGATTTGTGCTGGAGGCAGAGCTTACACTGCCTCCCAGTGGGACATGCCGGGGCATCATGGGGATGGGGGTGGACTGCACAGGGCGAACACTGGCCACAGGCTTCTCATCACTCTTCAGTGTTGGCTGCCTGTGAAAGAAGAACACACACACCTAAGAGAATTTGGCAGAATGGCCCTTACTTACCTTTCTGCAAAGGCTGCAGAGCTTCTCCAGATACCCCCATTCTGTAGCCTCACTCGCTACTGAGAAGGATCAAAGAATCTGCAGAGTATGGCCAATTCAAAAGGAGACTAGGGGCAGAACCAAGACCAAATGGCAGCAAGGGATAAAGCCTCTCAGAATCTAACAAGAAAAAGATGTTGGTGGAATAATACCTTTTTAGAGATGTGAGGTGACATTTGCTCCTTTAGAATTTAGACTGTTTATATACATTAGGAATTAGTCCTTGGAGGGAAGTTAGGAAGAGGTAAAGATGCAATAAGGGAGGAAAAGTTCTTCAAAGCACAGTGTATGCCAAGTTAAGACAAATGGATGGAATTTTCCCACTTTCCCAAGGGAAAGGGCCACGTGATGCCACACATTCAGGTGATCTTGAGGGAGCATCTGCCCAATTTCAACCATCTTTACTCTCTGGAACCTCAAGTTTCAATAAGTAATGCAGACAGTTCTCTCTCTCTCCTTTCACTGGGCTCCTCCTGGGGCCTGTGTCCAAAGTGCCCCTCTAAGTCATGACTACCACAAAAGCAGTGGCCACCAAAAAGCTGTTCACAGACCCAGGCATCTGAATGGTACACGGCTATGGTCAGCCTGAGCACTGGCTGTGCATGTCTTATGCCGGCATGCCAAAATGCTACCCCATGGTCAGTGACGCACCCCTCACTCTCCACCTTCTTTTCAACTGGAAGTTGGTACCTTCAGAAAGCTACTCCTGATTTAAGATTTTTGAAATTAAGACCCTTTATACAAGCTTTCTGAAGTTTTGTGCCTTTGGTCTTTAGTTTTGGGGGAGAACCTCCTTGAACTGGTATATTCTTCCTTATCTAACTCAAGAATGTTGCTCTGAAGTTGCTACAGGCACCTCTGGGCAGCCCTCTGGCCCCCTGTCTGAAATCCCACATTCCCAGACAGGCCACACAGCACAGCAAGTTTACCACATCTGGGTCCCATTTCCTCAATGTGCCCAGGGTGGCTTTGCAGGAGCTAGGGGCTCTGGTCAGAGGTCAGTGGGACTCTTTCCAGGATCCAAAGTCAAATCAGGGTAAAAGTCAGGATAACAGGAACCTAGCCCAAGCCCCCTACTCTGGAGGAGCTGAAGCAAGGAAAATTGGGAAGGAAACCCTCCTCACATACACTCAGACAGGATGAGGAATCAGCAGGATCATAGTATGGCTCATCAAGCGCTGTGAGAGGCTAGTGCCTCCCACAGGGCCAGAGGGGGGCCAGGAAAGGAGCTGACATAGCCTCAAGAGACCAGCCCATTTGTCACATCTTCCCGCAATGTGGCTTTTCTTCCACTGGGTTCATGCTTCGTCCATTCCTATTGTTACATGGGAAAGGCCAGAAAAGAGAATAAAAGGGGTGGAGGACAAGAAAGGAGAACATTCCCAGGCAACAGTATCCTAGAAAATGACACAGAAATAAAGTCGGAAGGTTTTCAAAGAGAGTAACGTTTTCTTGAGAGCACCTTGTACATAAAAAGCAGCAAATTTACTCATCAAATATTAGAGTCTTCCATAAAATTTACATAGTTTCAGTTCCTTTAGAATCTCATTTGTCAAGTTTTTTTTTAACATGGAATCTTCATGAGAAAAAAAGTTTTAGGGCACCTAGGTGGCTCAGTCTGTTGAGTGTCTGCCTTTGGCTCAGGTCATGATCCTAGGGTCCTGGGATCGAGCCCCACCATCGGGCTCCCTGCTTAGCCAGGAGCCTGATTCTTCCTCTCTCTCTGCCCCTCGCCCCCATTCAAGTTCTTAACATACTCTGCTCACTCTCTAATAAATAAATAATCTTCTGAGCAGAGAGCCCGATGCGGGGCTCGATCCCAGGACCCTGAGATCATGACCTGAGCCGAAGGCAGAGGCTTAACCCACTGAGCCACCCAGGTGCCCCAATAAAATCTTTTTTTAAAAAAACCACTCTTTGTGATGCCTGGGTGGCTCAGTGGGTTAAAGCCTCTGCCTTCAGCTCAGGTCATGATACCAGGGTCCTGGGATAGAGCCCCGCATCGGGCTCTCTGCTCAGCGGGGAGCCTGCTTCCCTTCCTGAGATGAACAAAATAAAAAATAGAAAAACAACAGGGGTGCCAGGATGGTCAACCTGTTAAGCATCTGACTCTTGCTTTTGGCTTGAGTTGTAATCTCAGGGACGTGAGATCAAGTCCAGAGTTGGGCTCCATGTTCAGCATGGAGTCTGCTTGGGATTCTCTCTTCCTCTTCAAGAGCCTCTGCCCCTCCTGCTCATGCTCTCTCTCTTTCTCTCAAATAAGTAAATAAATCTTAAAAAAAAAAAGAAAAGAAAAACAACAAATCAATAAAAACAAAAGTTGATTCTCTAAAAAGACCAACAGAATTGAAAAACTCTTTGTTAGACTGAACAAGTGAGAAGAGAAAAGACTCAGTTTACTAAGATCAGGAATGAAAGTAGGGACCTTATAAAATAAAAAAGATCACAAGAGAATCTTATAAACAACTGTATGCCGGCAAATTAGATAGCCATGGTGAAATAGGCAAATTCCTAGACACACACAAAGAACCAAAACTGACGGAAGAAGAAACAGAAAATCTGAAAAGGCCTACCACAAGGAAAGAGATTAAAGCAGTAATTTAAATATTTCCAATAAAGAGAAGTCCAGGACTAGTCAACTTCATGGGTGAATTTTATCAAACATTAAAGAACTGATACCATTCATTCTAACATGTTTCCCAAAAAGTGAAGAGAAGAGAATGCTTCCTAACTCATTCTCTGAGGCCGGTATTGCCATAACACCAATGCCAGACAAAGAAACCATAAGACCATACAAAAAAAAAAAACAGAAACAAAAAAACTAAAGGCCAATAATAATCACAAGTGCAATGCAAAAAGTTTAGCAAAATACTGGGAATCAAATCCAAGAGCATATTTAAAGGATTATATGCTGCGACCTTAGGGGATTTATCCCAGGAATGCAAGCAAGGTAGACGCAACATGTGAAAATCTATGTAAATAGAATAAAGGGGGAAAATCACATGATCATCTCAATTGATACAGAAAAAGAATTTGACAAAATCTAATAGCCTTTCATGGTAAAAAAAAAAAGGGGGGGGGAAGAAAGAAAATTCAATAAGCTAGGAGTAGAAGGAAGTTTCTCAACCTGATAAAGGGCAACTATGAAAAACCCACAAGTGACATCATACTTAATGGTGAAAGACAACATTTTTTTTCTAAGATGAGGAAGGGACAAAGATATCTGCTTTCATCACTGCTATTCAACACTGTATCAGAAGTTTTAGCCAAGGCAATTGAGAACTAAAATGCATCCCAACTGGAAAAGTAGAAGTAAAATTATCCGTACTTGCAGTTCACATGATCTTACATGTAGAAAATGCGAAAGAATCCACCAAAAAATTATTACAGTTAATAAACTAATTCAGCAAAGTTGTGACATACAAAATAAACACACAAATCATTTGTATTTCTATGCACCAGCAATGGAAAATTCAGAAGTGAAACTGAGGAAACAATTGTATTTATAGTAACATCAAAAAGAATAAAAATCCTTAGAAATAAACTTAACCAAGCAGATGCAAGACTTGTATACTTAAAACCATAAAATACTGTTTAAAGAAATTAAAGGGGACCTAAATACATGGCAAAATATTCTGTGTTCGTGGGTCAGAAGACTTAATATTCCCTAAATTGATTTATGGAGTCAACACGATCCCTTTCATTCCCACTGCCTTTTTTTTTTTAACGGAAGTAGAAAGCTAATCTTCAAGTTCATATGGAATTGCAAAGGTCTCGGAATAACCAAAACAACCTTGAAAAAGATAAAGTTGGAAGACACAAACTTCTTAATTTGAAAACTTATTGCTAAGCCACAGTAATCAACAAGGTGTGGTACTGGTACAAAGACAGACCTGTAGATCAATGGATTAGAATTGAAAGACCAGAAATAAACCAACAGCTCTATGTTCAACTGATTTTCAACAAGGCTACCAAGAGTCAGGGGAAATAATAATCTTTTCAAAGAATGGTCCTTGGACAACAGGATAACCCCCGCAAAGGCATGGCGTTGGATTCTTATCTCACAGCATATAGACATATTAACTCACAACCGAAGTCCTAAAGGTGAGAAATAAAACTATAAAACTCTTAGAAGAAAACATGGAAGTAATCCTCATGACCTTTGGATTTGGCAGTGGATTCTTAGCTGTGACACCAAAGCACAAACAACAGAAGAAAAATAGATAAATTGGACATCATCAAAATTAGGAACTGTCGTGCATCAAAAGATATTAATGAGGGAAGTGAAAAGACAACCTGCAAAATGGGTGAAAATATTTTCAAATCATATATCTGATAAGGTCCCAGTGTCCAGAATATATAAAGAACTCTTACAACTCAACAATGACAAGACAAAGAAGCCAATTAAATAAGTGGTCAACGGATTTGAATAGACATTTCTCCAAAAATATACAAATGCCCCCAAAAGCCCATGAAAAGGTGTTCAACTTGGGCCACCTGGGTGGCTCAGTGGGTTGGGGCCTCTGCCTTCAGCTCAGGTCGTGATCTCAGGGTCCTGGGATTGAGCCCCACGTCAGGCTCTCTGCTCAGCAGGAAGTCTGTTTCCCTTCCTCTCTCTGCCTGCCTCTCTGCTTACTTGTGATCTCTGTCTGTCAAATAAATAAATAAAATCTTTAAAAAAAAAGAAAAGAAAAGGTGTTTAATGTCATTTATCGTGGGGAAATGCAAACCATAACCCCGAATGAGATGCTATAATTTTTCTTAAAATGGGCAGTAACGAGTCTCCACATGTTGGCAAGCATGTGGAGACTGGTGGGAACGCAAAATGGCCCGGCTGCTGTGGAAAACAGTCTGGTGGTTCCTCAAAGGGTTAAACACAGAATTCCCACATGGCCCCACAATTCCGCTCTTGGGAGTATAACTAAAAGCACTGAAAACAGGTGTTCAAACTCATACTCATACACAAGTGCTCACAGCAATGGTATTCACAATCACCAAAGAGGGAAAACCACTCAGTTACCTGCCAGTTGATGAATGGACACACAATGCGTGGTCTATCCATGCAGTGGAATAGTATTCAGCCGTAAAGGAATGAAGGCCTGACACATGCCATGTATACCACAATGAACCTGGAACACACGCGAAGTGAAAGAAGCCAGGCATGTGGCCTTGGATTCCATTTATATGCAACATCTGAAATAGAGTCTAAAAGCAGATTCGCAGTCACCAGGGCCTGGGGTGGGGTAACAGAAGGGTAATGGCTACATGGTTTCTGTCAGGGGGGACGAAATTAGAATTAAAACATATGGAAGACAGAAACTGGAAGTAGATAGTGGTGACATTCATTGTACAGCACCGGGTGGGTACTAAAAGCCACTCGATTATACACTTTAAAATGGGTAAAATGGTCAATGTTATGTTCTATGACTTTTGTTATCTCACCAACTTAAAAAGATACATAAAAACACCCAAAATAGTCTTAGATTTCTTTTAGGTGCATGGATGTAATGCGTCTATAAAGGCGTAACTCATCATTCAGGATGTCCTCCAAGCGGGGAGTGGTAATAATGAAAAAAGGATTGCTGAGAGAAATTTCAGCTTCAAATGTATGAGTTAAAATTAAATTATTTTGGGGGTGCCTGGGTGGCTCAGTGGGTTAAGCCTCTGCCTTTGGCTCAGATCATGATCCCAGGGTCCTGGGATCGAGCCCCGCATCAGGCTCCCTGCTCATCGGGGAGCCTGCTCCTGCTTCTCCCTCTCCCTCTGCCTCTCCGCCTCACATGTGCTTTCTCTCTCATGCTCTCTCAAATAAATAAGTAAAATCTTAATAATAAATAAATAAATAATTTTTAATAGAAAATTTCAGCTAATCTGTGCATGGTATAAATTCTGGAGGACGAGCTTTGGGGACAGATTTCATGGAACATTCGCTTTCCACCTTATATGTTTCTGCATTATTTGAAATTCAAGCAACAGGTAAACCATATTTATAATCAGAGCAAGAATTCAAGCAGAAGAGAGCCAGCAGCTGGGGAGGAGAGAACTGATGAAACAGAGGCCAAGTCTCGTGCTCTGTGATCTGACCCCTCGGCCCCACCGGCTGCCACTTTGTGAGTATCTGCAGAAGCGTGAACATAAAAGGGATGAGCAGGTTCTTCCAGGGACTTCTAAGCAGTAGACAAAGCCAGAATATTCTGGCAACAACCTAACCAGGCCAGAGCTGGAGTAAGGGAGAGATCCACAAAGAACAGTGGGATCTGGCAACCTAGACCAGATGCACGGAGCCTCCGAACACCGGCTTCAGCCCCAGCCTGTGGATCCCTTCTGCACAGTCTGGTGGACTGGGCTGAGTGAATGGATGTCTGATGCCATCAGTGCAGCGATGGGGGCCTTTGAGAGACTGATAACAGCGCTCTGCTCACCCAGACTGACAGTCGTTAAAGGAAGCAATAGGGTCTTCTGCCTATTGGACTTTTTTTTTTTAAGATTTTTATTTATTTATTCGACAGACAGAGATCACAAGTAGGCAGGCAGGCAGAGAGGGAAGGGGAAGCAGGCTCCCCGCTGAGCAGAGAGCCGGATTTGGGGCTCGATCCCAGTACCTTGGGATCATGACATGAGCTGAAGGCAGAGGCTTTAACCCACTGAGACACCCAGGCGCCCCCTGCCTATTGGACTTTTAACATGAGGCAAAAGTGGTTGTGTGGTTGACAATAGGGTCAGAACCTGTGAGACACCCCAATAGCCAGTGCCATGGCCATGCAGACAAGTGAGCAGGCGAGGCTTCAAATACACAAAAAACAGGAGCCGCAGACAGTGCACAGGCCAACAGGCCGTGGGCCCCCAGCAAACCCGCATGCAGAAAAATGAATGCTGGGACACATGCTGAAGCCAGAGCCAGAATGGCCTTCCAAACCCCGAAGGACTCCCAGCATCTCTGCATCACCTGCGTCTGCGCTTCCGGTCCTAACTCTGAATCCTAGAAACACAGCTTTCCCTGAGCTCTCAGGAGACCGGGTTGCACAAGGCAGGGCAGAGCCAGGTTTTGTGGGACCTGAAGCTTATATAATTTGGAAGGCCTACTTTAAGAAAAAGAATGCAAAATTACAGGCTTAAAATTAGGCAAGTGAATATGTAGAACAAATAAAGAAATTGCAACCAATCGTAAATTTTCAAAAGTCGGCAAATACGAAAGCATTACACAGCGTTTATATCAAACCACGGTTGCACATCTATCATGGTTTTCCAACATTTTTTTGCAGCATAACCCATGAGTACTTCTTCATATGACGATTTTGCAATGTCATTTTTTATAAAAGCGTGTTTATTTTGGATGGACCGGATGCATAAAATGTGATTTCTCATGCTGCCTTCCACACTGTTCATAACAACTCCCCTAGCTGATGCCCTGAAATCACAGGAATTCTGATCAATTCTCTTTCACCGAATTCACACCAAAATAAGAAGGAAGTATGGTATGCTTTATAATTGTCTCACTGTGTTATCAAGTATATTCCCAACAAGACAGAACTTCAGTTTTAATCAGGAGTCAGTGAGAATAGAATCTTCCATTTATGGTTTTACATATCTGATAACAAGAACTTTCTACAGACCGGCTCTTGTCTCCACACTTTTCAAACCTCCCTTTTCCTCCCCCGCCCAGCTACTTCTGGTGCCAAGCACTGGGGGACACGTTCATATCTGTCCTATCACTGTAGCACCCTGTGTCCCCCCAAATTCATTCCATGGCACGGTAACAGGTAGGAAATCTCTAGGAAGCCATCTCTAATGGAATGGCTAGCAAGGACTTGTCTATTCCCAGGGGTGACTGTGAACCCCATAAATCCGCCTCATTTAACCCAAAGTAAGCAGGCACATCCTTAGTCATGTCCCAAAAGAGGCTGCAGCCCATTCCCCACCATCCAATAGAAGGGTGACAGGGGGCACCAGAGAGGGGGAGACAGAGGCTCTCTCCAGTTGCAGCTAAGGGACCTTGCTTCCCCAAATTTTACATGAAATCATACTTGCCCGCGAACACAGTGCTTGGAGGCCCTCCCACGGGCTCTGCCACTTGAGCTTCTGGAAATCCAAACCGGCTATGGATTAGAATTGTGTGCCTCTCGCTTTGCTCCCACCAGCAGGAGCAGAAAGACGTGACCAGAAGGCATAGAAAGATCAGGACTCAGGATGCCACTGGGGTCTGAGAAATATACCACAAGCAAGAGATAAGGGCAGGCCCCCCCAAATGACAGGAACCAACAAATGAGGGGATTGGCCAATCCGTGAGGAGACACGAGCAAGAGGTGAGAGGAGAGAGATGTGGCAAAAATGTGTAGGGACAGGACCTGATGAGGGGGAGCCTTGTGTGTAGGTGGGCGGGGTCTCATGAGGGGCGTGACTAACAGTTGAGGGCGGGGCTAAAGACTCAGGTGTCCTAACTGACAGATGAGTGGACTCTGAAGACCAGGGCCATGGACACACAAAATGTGAGTAAGGCCCACCTGGCAGGGGTCTGCCCCGCGGATGATGAGCCGTGACTTCCAATGAGTGGGAGACTGGAAATCAGACGAATGGGCCTGGAAATGAAGGGGCAGGGCCACTTAGGCCGGGCCTCCTTTCTTCCCAGCCCCACAGACGGGGACAGCAAGGGGAGGGCGCCCCACTGAGCATCTCCGTGTTCTTCCCTCCCTCGATCAGTCGGAGAAGGCAGCCATAAAGATTCAGGCATGGTGGCGTGGCAACATGGTGCGCCGGTCACTACTGCACGCAGCTCTCAGGGCCTGGGTCATCCAGTGCTGGTGGAGGTCGGTGCAGGCCAAGATGCTGGAGCAGAGACGGCGCCTGGCACTAAGACTCTACACCTGCCAGGAGTGGGCAGTGGTGAAGGTGCAGGCGCAGGTCCGAATGTGGCAGGCCCGCAGACGGTTTCTCCAGGCGCGCCAGGCGGCCTGCGTCATCCAGTCTCACTGGCGTTGGCACACCAGCCAAACCCGGGGCCTGATCCGGGGACGCTATGAGGTCAAAGCCAGCCGGCTGGAGCTTGACATCGAAATCCTCTTGACCTAGGGAGCTAGCAGAGCCAAGGAGACTGGATCTCTCTTCCAATAAAGACACTTATTGACTGCAGTCATGCCCTTTGGAAATCAGACCCATAAAAGAGGGATCCACTCCAAAGTCATGGTCTAGAGCCCGTCTCAGGGCACGCCACCCTAGACCCTGGCACCTACTGCAAACCTGAGTCATCTTGCACCCCAAAGAGACCCCCACGGCTCAGGATGGGCTCTGACACCTCAGTCAGCCTGGCTCAGCCAGGCTCTGAGCTGGGCCTAATTTTTTGGCAGCCCCTCCCCTGGCTTCTCCACTCAGGGTAGGACACCAGAGAGGCTGCTGCCAGAGCCAGCTGGGAAAGCCAGGATTCCACAGCCCTGTGCCGGGCAGGGCCCTTGGGGCCAGCGCAGGCTCGGCGGGGAGCCGGGAGGACAGGGCACCCAGCTGAGCAACAGCCCGCCAGGCTCTGTGCCTTCCTGGGGGCTAGTCCGCCAGAGCCATCCCTGGGGAGGGCCAGGCCAGGACTGAGGAGCAGCAGCTGTTCGGGCTGCTTCGACCCCAGGGGCTGAGACAAGGCTTCCCTCCCCTCCGCTGGCCATTTCTGGGGAGAACCAGAAGTGGAGGGGGAGGGGAGAGAAAGCCCCAGAAGGTGGGTCTGAGGAAACAGGCAGAGGGAGTCCGGGGGGGTGGGGAGCAGAGGGAAGGACTGTCCCTAGACCACTGGAAGTCATTGGTTTGGGGATCATCCTCTAAGTCTTACCACATCCTCAGAAGCAGCTGGTCCTGGAGTCCCCCCAAGATCCCCTGTATTGGCCCCAGGCCTTCCACAGACTGCCACAGCCTCCACACGGTCGGCCTCAAGGGGGTGTCAAGGGGCCTCTGAGGGCTGAGTCTGCTGCTAACAGGCAGCCTCTAGGTTCAGCCCTCCCTGTACCAGTCTCTCACAGCCTCTGCTCTGACGTTCAAGGTCCCTCAGAGGTTTGTCTTGGAAGCTGCCTCCCAGAAGCCTGAGGCTCGTGACCCTCCCTAGGGGTCTGTAATGGGTGGCCTTGCCCAAGGGGTGGGAGGACCAGCTGGGGAGGTCCTCGTGGGCCTGGCAAGTGGGTAAGGATTTCCCTCTCCTCAGGGCTGTGTGTGTTTTGGGGTGCTTGCGTGTGATTGGGGCTCAGGGCAGTGTCTCCGCCATAGCTGTGGCAGGCGTGGGGATTCAGGGATCAGTCGGACACCAGCCTTCAGTAGCTGCAGGTGGCCATGGCGCAGCTGGGTATCTGCTCTTCCAGAGGAGCCCCTTCAGGAGTTTTGGGCGCGGTTCTCACCTGCCCGCCTTGCAGGAGCGAGTGGTAGGAGGCTACTTAGGTCTGCATCCCAGCAGGACAGAATTCTGCCTGACTGTGCCTGCAGCCGCCACCGCTGCAGTGAGAGGTGGTTAAACCCGAGGTTGGCAAGGCTCGAAGTGTCTGATTCTTAACCTGCATTGGATGCTGGAATCCTCTGGGACACAAAACACACCAATGCCTGGGCCCGCCCACAGATTCTGTTTAAGTGGCCTGGGGAGAGGCCTGGGCACGATTTGGAAACTGCTGAATTTTTGTTGTTTTGTTTTGTTTAAGATTGTATTTATCTATTTGACAGAGAGAGGGAGGGAGGGAGGGAGGGAGAGAAAGAACAAGCAGGCAGAGCAGCAGGCAGAGGGAGAGGGAGAAGCAGGCTCCCTGCCGAACAGGGAGCCTGATGTGGGGCTCGATACCAGGACCCTGGGATTATGACCTGAGCCAAAGGCAGCCGTGTAACCAACTGAGGCCTTCCCAGCTGCAGGCAGAGGAAGTGAATGAGATGTAGGATGGGAATCCACAGACAGGAACCCCATTAGCACCCAGGTCCGCCAGAGCTGGCCTAGACGGGTGAAACCACCCATAGTTCCTCACAGAGGTGAGGCGGCAGGCAGGGCCTTCAGAGGCAGACACCCTCCCGGAACATCACAGAGCCTCCCTTCTCTTCCCTGCTGCCATTGAGAATTGGGCTGCCAAGAAACTCTCCCTGAGAATATACTGCAACCCCGGAAGTGAGGATAAGGGGGGCAGTGATGCTGGCAGCCTTGGGGCAGCCTGAGGGGACTCTGAGGAACTCTGTATCCCCATTCTTGCTCCTTCCCCTGGCGACACTGTGTCCCCAAGAGATAAGTGCCCTAGGCCTGATCAACAAAGAACTCTATTGACCCTCAGACTGGTCCGCAAACTGGGGTCCTAAGAAGACAGTTCAGGAAGTGAGGGTCCATCCCCTTCTGGTCCCTTCCAGCCCTGAAACAGGATTCCCAGGTGGCATTTCATCTCCTTGCTCCCAGGATGCCTACCCCGTGCTCTCAGGCCCATCACACGACCGACCCATCTCCAACCTCAGTTCTGATCCCACCATTCAGGTCTCCACCCTGATTTGTGTTTTGCTTCTCTCTGTCCCACATGGCAAACACAAAATGAGACGGCACTGAGCCATTTCAAGATTTACAGTAAAGCTACAGTAATCAAGACAATGTGGTATTGTTGAAAGAACAGACAAGTAGATCAATGGAACCGAAGAGAGAGCCCAGAAATAGGCCCACACAGATACAGTCAACTGGACTTGGAAAAATGACCAAAGGCAATCCAATGGAGAAAGTTTTTACAACGAATGATGTAAAAAAAAAAAAAAAAAAAGTGACGCTAGACATAGA